GTATGTTGTGGCGACCCTTTAATACAGTTTCTCATGTTGTGGTGACCCTTTAATACAGTGATGTATGTTGTGGTGACCCTTTAATAAAGTTTCTCATGTTGTGGTGACCCTTTAATACAGTTTCTCATGTTGTGGTGACCCTTTAATACAGTTTCTCATGTTGTGGTGACCCTTTAATACAGTTTCTCATGTTGTGGTGACCCTTTAATACAGTTTCTCATGTTGTGGTGACCCTTTAATACAGTTTCTCATGTTGTGGTGACCCTTTAATACAGTTTCTCATATTGTGGCAACCCCCAACCATACAATTATTTTTGTTGTTACTTTATAACTTCAATCAGTATGTCTTTTCCGATGGTCTTAGGCAACCCCTGTGAAACCAACAAAAGGGTCGCAACCCACAGGTTGAAAACCGCTGTCTTAGATGGAGATAACCCAAACCCACTATGTTATGTTTGCAATGGACTCACAAAAAATGTTTAGGAGGCAACCGAAAACTTCAACATTCTGCATGAAGTGTGCTTTGCATTTAAGTGGTTAGATTACTGACATATGTTTAGGTTTCCTGCCCAGGATGTGTGGGTGTGAGAGGTTGTAAGCAGGCCGAAAGATCGACTGCTGCTACATTTGTAGGCTAGGAGAAGTTACTGGATGAAATGGAGGCTCTCTGCGACTGAGTGAACAGTGCAGAAGACTAGGGAAAGCTGAAGCTCGGGACGACATTTAACGAGCAGGGTAAAGATAGGGGGGGGGGGGGGGGGGACTGTTAATCAGGGTGGCACTTCCACTGTCAGTATGGGACCTCTACGCTGGCTGCTGAAATCAGGGACCGAGCATCACAGAAAACATCATGGGGTATTGCACATGTCCGTGTTGTACTGTACAATAATAGCACCACTTTACAAATTAAAAATTACTGGCTGGGTTAAACCTCCAGGGGTGGCAGAACAAGCTGTGTCTGAGAAGTTCAGGACTTGAGGCTTTGCCTAGCTGAACAAGGAGCTGGCACTTGTCTGGGAAGAGAAAGTTACATAGTAGGCAACTGCTCACCTGAACTCATAGGTCATAGCCTAGAATATATAAAGACCTTGAACTTCAGATCCCAACAGTAGTATTCACATAGGACTGACCTTTGACTGTCCTGCATTAATAAATAATATGAACACAATATTGCAACAACAACAAAACCAGTATTAACACAAAACTATGGCTACACAAGAGCTACAAATTGTATTCAGCAAGCAGTTACATAAACAAGAATATATTACAAGTTATTTTGGTTTTAATGTCCATTCTGCCTGATGGCAGAATATAATTGTGCTGTTCAGGGCTTTTACTCTGATTGTACGCAATCATATACCTTTTTCAAGCATTATTTGTTAGCACTACTGGAAGGACACTTTGTGGTAGCGGCAGCAGCAGTTTCGGGGGGAAAAATGTTCACGTTCCACTAGCATCCCCGAAGGGGGAGCTTAAGGTTGTAAATGTGGCTGGGTTCTGGGCATCAGATAACATGGCTTGGCAAATGCATGCCACCAAAAAGCCCAGAAGAGGATTCCTGCAGTGTTTATGAGATCAAAGGAGAAGACCCAATTACTGTCCCCAAGAGCAACGTAATCGTCAACCGGAGAAAATGGGTGACTCGGCAATGTACTGTGTGGTGTGTACCAACATTTTTTTAATTAGACATTTTTAAAAGGGCCTGGTTGTATGTAATATAATTAGAACATTTAGAACACAAGCAAATATAATCAAGCAAATGAAATTATAGTAATTCAAATAAAACATTTAAGCCAAGATTATAACTATTTAACAACGATGTGATTTGAGAAAGGTCTTTAAATGTTAGTAGTTTGTCAATGTTTAAAGTAAAGGCCCCCTTTCCACACCTTCATGCTTACTGGGCATATAGGGCTAGACCTATATTTCATAGACTAACTGGTACACAGTGGGTGATGTGGTCAGCATCACACAAGCTGCCTTTACTTCTCAGGACTTTACCTGGTACCCATTTAACGCTGGGTCTAGCTAGCAGCCAATGTCATTGTGTGTGTGTGTGTGTGTGTGTGTGTGCAAAAAGTCCTGCTCCGTCAGGACTTAAACCCATGACCTTCAGATCTGCATGTGAGCATCTCGCCGCTACACCATTGTAGCCCCCAGTTTGACAATGTTATATTGATTAAATGCATGCTGAAGGAATAAAAGAGTATGACAGAACAACCACGGCGTGACTTTGGCTAGAATGAAACCTATTCCAGCGAATCAAAGAGGTGGTGTGCGGGGTAGGGAGGAGTAAGTACTGAATAGGACACACATGAGACAGTCATAATTAAAGATCATCAACAGGTATCATTTATTCCTGTCTTAGTGTGGGACACAATTGTTAGTTATCTTAAAGCCCCACCAGAGTGTAGTAAGGGTGTACTATAATAACCTAACGGTTGAACTGGGTCTTCTGGGACTCCTGCCCAAGTTATCTTCATCCGAATGGTGGCACTTTGTGTCACTGGGTGTGGGTTGCTCTTCGTATGGTCCTAGTGGGGTTGAACGACACATCATCTAGTATCTTGTCCCGTAGAAGACTTCTCCGTATGAGTCTGTTGAAATGTTTCTCTATCTCAAGAATGATATTCAGCTTCTCTAATGTCACGTATAAAATAAAATCATTATGTATCTCCACATTAAAGGCTGACTTCTGTCCACCCACTCATGTCTCTGGCAATATTACAGGCTGAGGCTCCACTGGGTCAGTGTCATGTCTCTAGCAACATTACAGGCTGAGGCTCCACTGGGTCAATGTCATGTCTCTGGTCACACTACAGGCTGAGTCTCCACTGGGTCAATGTCATGTCTCTTCTTATTCTTCATTCTTGGCATTCACTGACTGGAAACTCTGGAGGAAAGTTCTGGTTGTTCATCGAGCTCTAGACTCCAGTATTCTTCCAAAACCTGAGTGTTAAGTGGACATCCATTTAGAGATCTTACCTATCCGCATGAAGACTGTTGGTTTTCTGCCTCTCAGGCAGATATGCTCCAACTTGGAAGGAAGCCCTAAATTTGTTGACTCTTACGATATTCTTGTTTCGTAGGCAGCGGTCAGTTCTTGTTTTCCCCAAAATGGGGCCACAGAACACACACGAGGAAATGTAAGAAATAAATTCATTGACAAAATTTTGAATCTATCCATGTTGTTGTCTCTGTTTTACTTTCCAAACTGCTTCATTACAAGATTTTCTTCTGCAGACGTCAAATTGTAGACATTAATTTTCCTCACTTGTAATCACCTTAGTATCAAACCATCCGTAATAATGAATCTTTTTTTAGACAGATCTGTCAATTCTTTTTTCTGAGATGGATCTGTCAATTTTATTTTCTTAAACAAATCCATCAATTCTGTTTTCTTAGACAGATCCATCAAATATTTTTTCTAATCAGATCTGTCAATTATATTTTCTTAGACTGATCTATCAATTTTATTTTCCATCCACTGAATTTGGAAGACTGTAGAGCTATTTTTTTTTTTTTTTGTCGTTTAATTTAGCAATGTAGTTTTCTTAGTTTCAGTAAAGGAATAACTGGAGTTAAAATAATCAAATAATATCATGAAAAATGCGTATATATTCACAAGTCACGTACATCTTATGTAGGTGACTTGGATGAAAGTACATAAAGTGTAGTTAAGGTTCTCCTTTTCTCGTGAATCACACACAAAAAGTAAATGATACGAAAAATCTTTGAACGTATGAACATTAAATATTTGTAACATGCTATAAAACATCTTTGGTCATTATAAGTACATTTGCTTTCAACAATAAATTGTACAAATTATTTATACATTACTGTAATTTTCTGGCATACAAAATATACAAACGTGTGTATAAAGTTTATAAGGATTTGACCTTGGACCTTGTAACGTCTTCTTCGCCCTCTTCTTTGTTTAGGCTGTAACCTTTGGCAGAAAGTCCTGGATGTTCATCTATTTGGACTCTGGCTTTGTGTGTACATCCCTCTGTACCCCAATGACATGTTGGCAGATTATAGTTCATTTAAACTTATATTCTACATTTATGTGAAGTGTCAATTGTACAGGGCCAATATGTCACAGATAAAGATTTTTCTTTTCCTATACTACACAAGAATATAAGATAAAATCTAAAGCTGAACATACAATATTTCTAATGATCTGATAGCAACAACAACAATAACAAAAATCAGCTCTGAATATCGTATCATATAAAGTACTTCTTTTCATTTGCTCCAAAATAAAGCATTTCCTTTGAATAGCCATTTTGTATTTCAGAACTCAAGAATCAAGTTTTTATCAGTAATATAGAATTTGATGACTTACACATGAAGAAGAATTTCATCATGCAGATGGAGATATTCAGTCACTGAAGTATGCAGTACTATATCATATTCGCATGGCATATTCACACAACCTAGGAATGAAGTAATTCAACATACAAACACATTGTCTTCTGTCATTCAAATAGGAAGCATTTCATCATGCAGATATAAAATGTCATTATTTCTCCAACATGAAATATTCAATCACTTCGAAACAAAGAAGTATTTTACCGCTCGAGATTAAAGTATTTCAAGTTAAAAGTATCAATTATTCTTTCACTCAAGACTCCAGTATTCCACCACATAAGTATCAATTATTCCATCACCCAAGACTCCAGTATTTCATCACATAAGTATCAATTATTCCATCACTCAAGACTCCAGTATTCCATCACACAAGTATCATGTATCGTATTACTCAATAATCAAATATAACCTCAAGCTGTACATGTTGTCTAAGGCATGAGACATTTCTCCACTCAAGCAACAATTCCATGATTCAAGATTAAGCCGTGAAAGCTGACTTTGGTCATCACATCAAACCACTGGTATTGTAGTCACAGATCGGAACACATGGGATGTATTGCGTTGTATTCTTGAGGATCTCCTCGCAGTCACTCAGATCTCTTGTCTCTCCGCGGCTGCTTTTAGGGCTACAATTCTGGAAAAGAAGAAACAGCTTGTGAATATAAAATACCAAAAGTTCTCATCTGATTGAAAGAACAGACAGTAAGTGTTACCGTTTGTTATTAATAATATGAACATTATTGTTATAATTATTGTTTTTATTGTATTTTTATTATAACATTGTTGATGGTGAAGATGGTGATTCAAAAAATGTTAATGATGTCAACTATGAAATGATGAAGTTGTAATAATGATGAAGATTAATTAGTTAATCTTTTCTCTTGAGTCTAAGGTGGTGCATAGAGCAGAGGTTATAGCTCTTCATGTCTGGTGGTTCGCTGCCACCTGTTTTAGGTCTTGGATGTTTGTTAGGCCCATGGTTGAGCCTTCCCTGATGATGTTTTCTGTCTCTCTTGGTCTTCCCCATATTTCTCCCCTTTCCAGTGTCCATATGAGGGCTTGATGGGGAAGTCTGGTCTTATCCATTCTGAGTACATGGATGATGTAATGATGAAGATAATGGTGACAAAATTTAAAAAACAAGGATCTTGTTAATGTTACTGAATGATTTACGAAGATGATGATTGATGTCAGTGATGATGAAACAACATCAATGATAACAATTAGCTAAAACAATATACCTGAAGATGAAAATTAACTGACTCACCATCACACAAAAGCTCGATTAAACTGTTCTCGATTTCCTTTAATCTGTCATAATCTGGCACCTGAAGGAAATGTTTCCCGGGTGGATAGGCACACATTTCTACCACCTCCTGCTGTGGCGGCTCACGGCCTACAAATATCACATATACCTGTGGAACAATAACAGTAATTATGATTTCCAGGTAACAAGTCTTTGTTCAAAGTTTCTCAGATTATCTGTATGTCCAGTGTCTATATCATATACTTTTTATGTTTTTCTTTATGTCCAGTGTCTGTCTCACATACTTCCATGTTTGTTTTTATGTCCAGTATCTCACATACTTCCATGTTTGTCTTTATGTCCAGTGTTTGTTAACTACACTTACATGATTGTCTTGACCGCTCTCCAAACAGCCAAAGACATTTAAAGTATATGAATATTTGAATATTATGAGAGTGTTTGTTCAGACATGATTTTATTTACATGTGTACTGAAATAGAATAGGACAGGCAAAAACTGCCTTTTATAAAATGAAGAATATCTTGTGCAATATATCCTTGTCATTGAGAGTTAGAAAAATAATTCTTGCTTGCTACATACATCCAGTTTTAACATATGGCTGTGAATCCTGGACAATTGGTTGGCAGGCCAAACAATTTCTGGAGGCCTCAGAGATGTGGTTTTACAAAAGAATGCTTAGAATACCTTGGACAACCAAAAAGAGCAACCATGAGGTTTTGAAACAGGCGGGAGCCTGAAGACAACTTATCACAGACATCAGAAGGAGACAGTTATCATTTTTCAGCCATGAGGGAAAATAGAACATGTTGTGACCACTGGAAAGATATGTGGAAGGAGAGATAGAGGAAGACAACAAGAGAAGATGCTTGACAGTCTTGTTGCATGGCATGGAGGTGTGTCGGCACACGAACTGATACATGCTGCAGGAGATCGCAGATTATGGAGAAGCATGATTGCCCACGCCAGTCGGCAAGGCACCTGATGATGATGATGATGATGATGATGATGTACTGAAAGATATCTGAGAGAATCTAAATGTAAACTGGCACAAACAAGGCAGCAATACATAGGATGAAGTATGAGGATGGCAGTGTGGCAGGTGGTCTGCAGAACATCTATCATTATGGCTGCCTGAAAGAAACTCAAGTCTCGCTCCAGCTCACCGCATCATGTACTTTCATATTCGTGTTGGTCCGCCCCTGCCTCTCCTTTGTGGTATCATCTCTTCTGCCATTATTTTTTTCCAATCCACGCATGGCACTTGATGACCAAATTACTTCAGCTTCCGAGACAAGATGCTGTTTATTAGCCAATCTTGCTTTGTGTTCAACTTTTTTTAAATGTCAGTATTTCTTCTCTTCTTTCTCCACGGTATTTTGAGAATTTTTCTATAGCATTTCAGCTCAAAAGCCCACATTCTCTTTCTAAAGGACTAGGAGATAGTCCACGACTCACATACGTAATGTGCCACAAGGAAGATGCATACTCTAATAATGGTATTATACTTTTGACAATTGAGATGGGAAAGAGAGTTTGACTGATCTATTAGTTTGTCACCTCAGAGAGGTGCCAGCGTTACTGTAACAGCCATTTATGGTGAGTATTGGCATCTCTTCTGGACACTTTGTGGTTAGTACTAGCGCCCTATTTTCTATTTTAAAAAATGCAGTGGTTACTTATGTAACAAAAGCTTACTTACAGTAACATTAGCTGCTTCTGTAACAATAGCTTACATGATTAACTTTTTTAGCATTAATCTTTAGTAATTTTCATACCAATTCCTTAATTACAGAAACTGTTACTTACTGTGTTTTACTTATGTGGAAAAAAAAAAGAAGAAAGAAAGTTTTACCTAAGTTACAATGTAATATACAACAGCCCCACGTGAGAGTTTGCAGACGTTAACATGCAGAGTTTTTTACATACTTCTATCCCATGGATCTGCGCCCGTCTGGCCTCCTTCAGAACTCTCAGTGGGTGCTCTAGCTCCCCATCCACCAACACAACAGCAATCTGAAAGGAACAGCAGCAATCAATCAAATACATGATGTGGGGGCTAGGAACCCAAAGGCTCCCAGAGGCCTAGTAAGTGATCCATGAACAGCAGCAATCAAATCACATACATGTAGAGATGAGGGTCCCAGAGACACTAGAGGCTCCCAGAGGCCGAGTAAGTGATCCATGAACAGGAGCAGTCAATCCCATACATGTAGAGATGAGGGTCCCAGAGATCTCTAGAGGCTCTCAGAGGTCTAGTAAGTGATCCATGAACAGGAGCAGTCAATCCCATACATGTAGAGATGAGGGTCCCAGAGATCTCTAGAGGCTCTCAGAGGTCTAGTAAGTGATCCATGAACAGCAGCCAATCAATCACATACATGTAGAGATGAGGGTCCCAAAGATCCCTAGAGGCTCTCAGAGGTCTAGTAAGTGATCCATGAACAGCAGCCAATCAATCGTGGTTTTAAAGATTCAACTTACCGTGGTTTTAAAGCCTCACTTACCGTGGTTTTAAAGCCTCACTTACCGTGGTTTTAAAGCCTCACTTACCGTGGTTTTAAAGCCTCACTTACCGTGGTTTTAAAGCCTCACTTACCGTGGTTTTAAAGCCTCACTTACCGTGGTTTTAAAGCCTCAAGAGCAGTGAATTTATTTCCTAATTTGAAAAAAAAATTTTAAGCTTGTTTAATTTCCTAATAAATTCAAAAGTTATGATAAGTTTCTGGGATGGTTTATCACTCAAAAGTGATGATAAGTTTCTGGGATGGTTTATCACTCAAAAGTTATGATAAGTTTCTGGGATGGTTTATCACTCAAAAGTTATGATAAGTTTCTGGGATGGTTTATCACTCAAAAGTGATGATAAGTTTCTGGGATGGTTTATCACTCAAAAGTTATGATAAGTTTCTGGGATGGTTTATCACTCAAAAGTTATGATAAGTTTCTGGGATGGTTTATCACTCAAAAGTGATGATAAGTTTCTGGGATGGTTTATCACTCAAAAGTTATGATAAGTTTCTGGGATGGTTTATCACTCAAAAGTTATGATAAGTTTCTGGGATGGTTTATCACTCAAAAGTTATGATAAGTTTCTGGGATGGTTTATCACTCAAAAGTTATGATAAGTTTCTGGGATGGTTTATCACTCAAAAGTTATGATAAGTTTCTGGGATGGTTTATCACTCAAAAGTTATGATAAGTTTCTGGGATGGTTTATCACTCAAAAGTGATGATAAGTTTCTGGGATGGTTTATCACTCAAAAGTTATGATAAGTTTCTGGGATGGTTTATCACTCAAAAGTTATGATAAGTTTCTGGGATGGTTTATCACTCAAAAGTTATGATAAGTTTCTGGGATGGTTTATCACTCAAAAGTTATGATAAGTTTCTGGGATGGTTTATCACTCAAAAGTTATGATAAGTTTCTGGGATGGTTTATCACTCAAAAGTTATGATAAGTTTCTGGGATGGTTTATCACTCAAAAGCTCTAGGTTCTCATAGAGTGCTGAGCAAAATTTCAAAGACAAGAAATTGCAGCAAAATAGACCATTACGCACAAAATATTTACTTTGTTGTTATATACAGATTGCAGCTGTAATGTATGCAATGCGGCTTAGCTACTGTGTGGAACTGTTTGAAACAGTCTTTTGGATGCGAAAGTGGATGAGTATAAAATCTTTTTAAATAAAATGGGATCTCCTGTGTTTAGCACGTCAGCACTGCTTGATTCTCTCATCTCTAAGAGCTTTTCATTATCTTTAGTTTTATAGACCAATCATTGTCAACACGTCACTATAGAGCAATCATTGTCAACACGTCACTATAATTCTGGCCAACCTTGCCTTTATTTTTTAGTCTTAGTCACCCCTAAAATTCCCAAAAATTCGTTGCTTTTTAAAAAATCCATTTCATTTAACTCTTTCAGGCCCATGAATTTTGACAGACTCGGCCCATATTAATTTCCCATTACAAAAATGGCAGAGGGATGGGTGTACAATAAATGCTTTAGAGAATGTAATATACTTCTAATCCCTTTAAAAGTATATATTTTTTTAAAGAGAAATGAATGTACATTTTGAATCTGATGATAAGTGTTTGTTTAATTTTGAAAGAAGAATTCAGCAGGTGTTAATTTCACAAGGACAACATTTCACACAAAAATTCTTCACTTACCATGGTTTTGCAGCCACAAAAGTAGTAAATATATAAATTTCAGAACAAAACTTGAAAGTTTGTTTAATTTCCTAACATATTCTAAAGTTATGATAACTTTATGGGTTAGTGTAGCACTCAGGGGCTCTTAGTTCTCACCGAGTGCTGAGCAAAATTTCAGAGGAAAAATGAGCCACTACACACACACTATTTACTTTTGTACAGTTATTTACAGACTGTAGCTGCAGTGATTTTAATGTAGCTTTGCCATAGTATAGTATAATCTATATGTTTAGAACACTTTCCTTCTCTTATACCATAAATACGATAGTATGGGACATTGTCTGTGTAATAAACTTATCAGAATCGCTAAATTCCGAACAGCTGATCGCTCGGCTTAACTGGTGAAAATTCACCATCCGAATCACTTTCCGAAAAATCCCAATTTTTATTATCATTATCACAATTAAAAACATCTGACTGAAACAATTTCAGAGCTTCGGCCACAGAAAGACGCATTATGTGACCTGTACCTGTGGTTGGAACATTGGTATTCATGGCATTCAAAAACAAACTTAGAAAATTAACTGTTGAAAAAATTTTTGCTGTTTTTTATTATCAGATTATGCATGCGTGGATTAGGTCAGGAAATGAAACTAAAAGGATTTCGGCAGAGTGACTTTCCCTGAATAGTTTAATCGTACCTCAGAACATTAGAAACTAGTTAGGGCGCGTGTGGGAAGCAAAATGTAAGGGACACACGATCGACGATGACACTGTTGTTTGGGCAAAACGGAACTTCTCAAACAACGCTCACACCGTTGCTTGGGCCTTAAAGAGTTAAGATCTGAACCTTTTAATAGTGGCATAGAAGATAAGCATGCTAGTCGGTTGGGGCGGTGTATACCAAATCTGACATCCTTTATTATGCCAATGGTTTCGGGCAGAGGAGCGCACTCTGAAAGATACTGGCCTTAACCTATGTAATAAACAAACAGACAATGTAGTGATCGCCACTCATAGAAAGAAGTAGAAAGATAGAACAACACACTAGACAACATAAAAATTGAAAGCTATAGTTACGATGCCAGGAATCGAACCTATCACCTCAAAATGGCATGTGCGCCTCGCTATGGAAACAAGGGCACTAAGGACATGATCAACTAGGCACCCGCAATAAATGTGACTTTATTGGCCATAATGTTATGTCAGGGCAAACATCTGCTCTATAATGTTATGTCAGGGCAAACATCTGCTCTATAATGTTAGGTCAGGGCAAACATCTGCTCTATAATGTTATGTCAGGGCAAACATCTGCTCTATAATGTTATGTCAGGGCAAACATCTGCTCTATAATGTTATGTCAGGGCAAACATCTGCTCTATAATGTTATGTCAGGGCAAACATCTGCTCTATAATGTTATGTCAGGGCAAACATCTGCTCTATAATGTTATGTCAGGGCAAACATCTGCTCTATAATGTTATGTCAGGGCAAACATCTGCTCTATAATGTTAGGTCAGGGCAAACATCTGCTCTATAATGTTAGGTCAGGGCAAACATCTGCTCTATAATGTTTAATCAGGGCAAACATCTGCTCTATAATGTTAGGTCAGGGCAAACATCTGCTCTATAATGTTATGGCAGGGCAAACATCTGCTCTATAATGTTATGTTAGGGCAAACATCTGCTCTATAATGTTAGGTCAGGGCAAACATCTGCTCTATAATGTTAGGTCAGGGCAAACATCTGCTCTATAATGTTGGGTCAGGGCAAACATCTGCTCTATAATGTTATGGCAGGGCAAACATCTGCTCTATAATGACAACATAAATAGTCAAGTCATTATTTTGGATTTAAAAAACAAACATTTATAGTGATTTTCACCTTCTTTGCTTCTTTTCGTCCCCCTTTTGTCTTTTTGAAGCCATCTTTCCTCATATTTTTCAATAAGTTTGACAGGTTGTCATCATCATTGGCTGGTGCGTTGAGAGCAGAGACAACATGTTTCTTGTTGTTGTGTGTGTTGAGTCTGACAGGATGCAAATGTCTACAGTTACCTCATCATTCAACAAATTACTTGACATCATTATATTTACTGTTGCTGACGATAGTATGTTTTGTTGACAATGATGGGTAGAAGCAGCAGATGAAGCAGAGGAAGAAGGCAACATCAGCATGTTTATTCATATTAAAAAAAATTAAGACACAGAGAGAGCAAGAGAGAGAGAGGAAGAGAGAGAGGAAGAGAGAGAGAGAGAGAGAGAGAGAGAGAGAGAGAGAGAGAGAGAGAGAGAGAGAGAGAGAGAGAGAGAGAGAGAGAGAGAGAGAGAGTCAAAACACAACAACAAAAATACCCTCACAGAATATTTCTATTTATGCCACAATGTCCATTATCTCTGGATGAAACAGACAAATATTTTCACTCAGATTCTATTTCTGACAGATCTATTCCTCTGCTGCACAAGTTAGTGTAGTCGCTTCTCATGAAACTCACGGGCTACACCTTGAACGACCTGCACACATACATATATCTCCCAACCATGCACACATGGAAACAAAAAAGTTAACACCATGAAGATTGTCGTTGCTTCTAGATCACTAGCATAGGCAGCAGAGCAAATACCCAAACATGTATACATTGTACCAGACTCCATGAACATACTTTAGAAGATTGCAACAGACAGTATGGACTCGTACTTAACCTGCCTCACCAGGATCTACACATCTGGTAATGCTGGCATAAAGGATAATGATCCAGCAGACCAAATGACAAGCAATGCACCAGTGCGTGTGAGGAGAAGCATTGGCAGAGCAGATATCACCAACGCTGTGCTGGGCTAGTGGATAATGATCAATCTATAACTCTAATAAGATTGCGTGATATGGGAGTCAAGCATGGTGAAGCACGTCTATGCCGCTTTCGAGGCTGAGGTAGGAGAAATTATAACCAACCTCTTATGGGAATAATTAGTAGAAGTATCTTAGAGTGGCTGCTGCATCAGAGGACTGAGCATGTTTGGGAATGGGGAGTAACATTGATTGATAAGATACATAACATAACAGAGAGCTGAACAAGACCTAACACTTTTAGACAAATTATAGAAGGATATACATCCAGCCCAAGGGCAGAAATACTTGACGAAGATGTTTCTCAGGCCTTTTTCCGGTGGTAGTGCAAAGGTACTTTGTACTGGCATCTTTCTGTGGGCATTATTTACGGCGGTGCGACTGTAATAGACACTTTCTGGTAAGCACCAGCACTTGTTTTTGACATGATTTAGTGAGTATACGCACATATTTTTCTAGAAAAAAAAAAACACCCTATAATTTGTTATTTTATTTTATGATAAAACATCAGAAAACTATGACACGATTGCCCATAGCACAGCAGCTACTGTAGTAAACTGGCTAGCTAACTTGCCTACTGTAGTAAACTGGCTAGCTAACTTGCCTACTGTAGTAAACTGCCTAGCTAACTTGCCTACTGTAGTAAACTGGCTAGCTAACTTGCCTGCTGTAGTAAACTGGCTAGCTAACTTGCCTACTGTAGTAAACTGGCTAGCTAACTTGCCTGCTGTAGTAAACTGGCTAGCTAACTTGTCTACTGTAGTAAACTGGCTAGCTAACTTGCCTGCTGTAGTAAACTGGCTAGCTAACTTGCCTACAGTAGTAAACTGGCTAGCTAACTTGCCTGCTGTAGTAAACTGGCTAGCTAACTTGCCTACTGTAGTAAACTGGCTAGCTAACTTGTCTACTGTAGTAAACTGGCTAGCTAACTTGCCTACAGTAGTAAACTGGCTAGCTAACTTGCCTACAGTAGTAAACTGGCTAGCTAACTTGCCTACAGTAGTAAACTGGCTAGCTAACTTGCCTACAGTAGTAAACTGGCTAGCTAACTTGCCTACTGTAGTAAACTGGCTAGCTAACTTGCCTACTGTAGTAAACTGGCTAGCTAACTTGCCTACACGAGTAAACTGGCTAGCTAACTTGCCTACAGTAGTAAACTGGCTAGCTAACTTGCCTACAGTAGTAAACTGGCTAGCTAACTTGCCTACTGTAGTAAACTGGCTAGCTAACTTGCCTACTGTAGTAAACTGGCTAGCTAACTTGTCTACTGTAGTAAACTGGCTAACTAACTTGCCTACTGTAGTAAACTGGCTAGCTAACTTGCCTACTGTAGTAAACTGGCTAACTAACTTGCCTACAGTAGTAAACTGGCTAACTAACTTGCCTACTGTAGTAAACTGGCTAGCTAACTTGTCTACTGTAGTAAACTGGCTAGCTAACTTGTCTACTGTAGTAAACTGGCTAGCTAACTTGTCTACTGTAGTAAACTGGCTAGCTAACTTGACTACTGTAGTAAACTGGCTAGCTAACTTGCCTACTGTAGTAAACTGGCTAGCTAACTTGACTACTGTAGTAAACTCCCTAGCTAACTTGCCTACTGATCAGATTCCAATCCCCATCTAGGCTGATTTTTTAAATTATATGGACTTCCAGGTAGGCCAACCTAAGACTCTGTACCTGTTGGAAGTCCTGGAAATATCATGAGAGGTAATGTCGGCTGACTAGTGGGGTAGATACTACCTCACTGCAGTGTACTGACTGGGCTGATAAAACTATGAGGCTTGGCACCAGATCCCTTGTACTTAAAATCACCCTTTGCAGTGAAATAAGTCCTCTATTTTTTGTTTTTGTTTACTCACCCAAAGGATTCTGGCTGAGGCACACATTCGTCCGGTTGAATGACCCCAATCTGAACGGTGTCTTGGCTGATGTCCATCGCCTTGGCCACATCTTTCATGAAGTTCAAGGTCTTCTTCGTGTTCTTTTTGCCAGCGCTAGCACTGTCCATGACGAACATCAAGTCAGCTTCCTGTCTGGTCCCGCATGCTGATGGACCAACAGCATTCATTCATTTAGTTTAAACATCTCAAAGTATAAAACTGGAATAACTGCACATTTGTCCTAAAAAGTTAAATGAATACAGAACTAAAATAAATGTTAACACTAGCTGTGTATCCATTAAAGACATTACAGAAACGTATTTTTACGTTTAGTAGTTTGCCATTGCTTCTGAATGGTCGTTCTTTTATACCATTGTCAAAATTAATGCAAAGCAGTCTGGCGTCAATTTACCCACAACTGTAATTAAACCAGGTATCTTGGCGTTACAAATCGTGTCTGCAACATATGGGCAATCCATGGAGGGTTTAGCTAGTGAATGCCAGTTAGCCAAGTATATTAAACAGAACTGCCCGCTCTAAAAATTAGTTTTGCATAATTTACAACTTTAAAAAGAAACATTTTTGAATCAAGTGTTCTGTCTCTTCCAGTGTAGGCAGTGTCAACATTCTATGAGTCATTTGTGGAGATATTCCTAGAAGAAAGAAAGTAAATTCCAACATTCCATAAGTCATTTGTGCAGATATTCCTAGAAGAAAGAATGTAAATTCCAACATTCCATAAGTCATTTGTGCAGATATTCCTAGAAGAAAGAATGTAAATTCCAACATTCCATAAGTCATTTGTGGAAATATTCCTAGAAGAAAGAAAGTAAATTCCAACATTCCATAAGTCATTTGTGGAAATATTCCTAGAAGAAAGAATGTAAATTCCAACATTCCATAAGTCATTTGTGCAGATATTCCTAGAAGAAAGAATGTAAATTCCAACATTCCATAAGTCATTTGTGCAGATATTCCTAGAAGAAAGAAGGTACACTCCAACATTCCATAAGTCATTTGTGCAGATATTCCTAGAAGAAAGAAGGTACATTCCAACATTCCATAAGTCATTTGTGCAGATATTCCTAGAAGAAAGAAGGTACATTCCAACATTCCATAAGTCATTTGTGCAGATATTTCTAGAAGAAAGAAGGTACATTCTAACATTCCATAAGTCATTTGTGCAGATATTCCTAGAAGAAAGAAGGTAAATTCCAGCATTCTATAAGTCATTTGTGCAGATATTCCTAGAAGAAAGAAGGTAAATTCCAGCATTCTATAAGTCATTTGTGCAGATATTCCTAGAAGAAAGAAGGTAAGTCAGCAAACCAGACATTTTTCCACTTTTTTCCATCTCAATTATTAAAAATTCTAACAAATCATATTTATATAGGGCACAGAAAGTGTTGTTTACTAGGAGATTAAAAGAAGAAAAAAGAATGAAGAAGAGGAAGAAAGAAAAAAAAGCAAATACATTAATCAGTAACACAAAACAGTGACATGGATGACTCACCCTGATCAGCAAATGGTACTGGGGCGGCCTCGGCTGTTAAAGAGAAATATCAAAAGTTGATCCCTTAAAATAATTGTCATGTTTGTCGTTTACATCATCAATAATTTTGGACAACCTTCCTGGCATCAAATGTTACACCAGATAGCTCAGTCTCTCTGCAGTGAGAGTTTTCCACTTCCTCCACTGATCTTTCTAGTCACATTTTGTGTTACATTTAGCACTGTGTGAAGCAATGTTTTCTAGAGTGTTCCTTTCCTCTTTGGGTTTTAATGTTATCCAGTTTCGTCCTTTTCAGGACGAAATTTTTTGTCATTTGAAGCCCTACTCTGGCTTTTGCCAGGGGCCGCAATATAGGCAGGCCATAAATATGGCCAGATGTCTGAACGCGGTTTCTGGAACCTCTCCACGGCGATCCTCATCCGCTTGGTGGCACTTTGTGTCATCGGGTGTTTATCGCTTGTGTGATGTCCTGGTGGGGTAGAAAGTCAGTCAGTCTTTAGGTTTTGTTTTCACCCTCTCACATTGTCACTGGATTGAGAATCAGCTGTACAGACATGTCTTAATTGTAATTGACTCATATAGCATGTTTAGAATTCTGGAGACCGTTATTCTCTATGTAAAGTGGCAAGCCTCGCATCAGAGGTCCCAGGTAATTATTTTGTGTGTGTGTGTGGATATTTTCTCCAGTCATGCTGGTGCATTGGGAAACGAACATACAGACAGCCTGGCTGGTTCTGCACACCTTGGTGGTGAATTGATGCATGGCAAACTAGATGTTGTAAGGGTCCTGTGGGAGCAAGTGAACAGCCCAGAGGCACACATGGATCATCATGATCTGAGAAAAATGGTGCTGCAAATGCAAAAAGTTACCAGATTATCTGGCCAAAACACTCAAGGAAAAGGCAAGGTGTATGTACAATCAGACAGTTACTGGTGCCATCAGAATTGGAACTCTATGGCTGCTTCTGAAGATGGGGATGGTGCTGTGATGTTGATTTATATTTAAACATTAAACATATATTCCTAAGAAAAATACTTGGCTCATTTTAGTAGAGCTATGATATCCTATCTTGTTTGAGTTGTGTAATAATTATAATTAAAACAAAAGAAATAATAGCAGTAACAATGGTAAAGAAATCATTAAAAAAAAAAAATGGAAAAGAAAAAATCTCAGTATAATTAGCTATAAAAACAGCAACAACAACTGACCAGTACAAGCTTCGATAGTTGCCTCCATGACGATGTTTTCTAGGTCCATGTAAGATTGAGTGTGGAAAATTTGTCGTCTCCTGGCAGACGACGGGTCCAAGAACGGAGCAAACTCATCCATGGGGTTGTCCTTTTTGTAGTTTTCTGCTCCAGCAATGATGGTCAGTTCCTCCAGGTTGACCTTCTCACCAACACCTGGAAATAAAATAGGATAGACAATCAAATACATAGATAGATGGGCAGGTAGACAGGCAGGTAGATAGGCAGGTAGATAGGCAGGTAGATAGGCAGGCAGGCAGACAGGCATACTGGCAGATAGGCAGACTGAAAGATAGGCAGATAGGAAGGCAGGTATGCATGCAGACAGACAGATAGGTGGACAAGTAGGTAGGCAAGCAGGCAGACAGACAGGTAAGCAGGTAGACAGACAGGTTTACGTAGGCAGACAGGCCGGCAGGCATGCAGATGTGTACAACTACCCTCAGCCCATTACAACAAATGTGTACAACTACCCTCAGCCCATTACAACAAATGTGTACAACTACCCTTTGCCCATTACAACAAATGTGTACAACTGACAACGTCCGAGAACCTGCTGTACTCACCAATAACCATGATATCCACTCCCGTGTTCCTGGCAATCTGTGCCTCCTTCTTGACCTTGTGCAGACTGTTGGATGCACTTCCAGTCAGCAACACGAGCAGCTGTCAATAGAACAGGGCACCTCAGACCACATTTGTTATATCTACAAAACTTTCTAGGGATCTTGCTTGGCGTCAAAACAAAATTAACTTAAATTAACTTAAGTTATTATGTCAAACCACCTCCCTTTTTTAGAACATTCTGCCACCTTTATTTCCCAGGACATTTCATGGTACCCACTTTAGACTCGGTCTACCTGTGAGTTAATTATAAGAATCTACCCCGATATGTGGGTACCGCCGTGGTGTAGTCGCTAGATGCTCTCCTGCGGATCGAAGGTCCTGGGTTTAGGTCCTGACGGAGTTGGACTTTTACAAAAATTACCTTTGCTTCTAAGTCGACCTAGCCTTAAACTTGTACCAGATCCAGTCCTAGGAAGTAAAGGTGGTCGGCATGATGATTACCACATCAACCATCAAGTGCCGATTGGTCTATAAAATATAGGTCTAGCCCTATGTGCCCAACATGCCAACGGTCCTATAGACTGATGTGTATTTAAATCAATGACTTCTGGAATTGAAGGCAAGAGATTATCTACTGCTCTATCGTGCATCCCAGAGTGGGAGTTATCCCAGAGTGGGAGTTATCCCAAAGTGGGAGTTATCCCAGAGTGGAAGTTATCCCAGAGTGGGAGTTATCCCAGAGTGGGAGCTATCCCAGAGTGGGAGTTATCCCAAAGTGGGAGTTATCCCAGAGTGGAAGTTATCCCAGAGTGGAAGTTATCCCAGAGTGGGAGTTATCCCAGAGTGGGAGTTAACCAAAGTTAGTTGTGTATCCTTTATTGGACATTGCAGAACCAACCTCAGCATTTTTTAGTTGTTGTGGTTTTTCAAGGCACATTTTACGTCCAGTAGTTTGCCCTTGCTTCTCATCGGTCAGCTCTCGGTACCACTATCAAAACTAATACAAGACAAACTGTCCACAGTTGGGATCAAACCCAGCACCGCGGCATTATAATGCACTATCACAACACCTAGGCCACAGCCGCGAATAAAAACAGCCCTAATAATGACACACTAATGTATGTAAATAAATATGCGTAGAAAAACTGCAACAGTCAAAATAAATACTAGGGTTGATTCTAGAACTTCCTGTAAAGAATGTGCAACTAATTATTTTTTGTATGGAGGTGGAGGCAGTCACTGATGCCTTTCGCTGGATTGAGAATCAGCTGTACACACATGCCGTGATTGTTACTGACTCACAGAGCATGCTGAGAAAGGTATAGACAGGCATGCTCCATGCAGAGTGGCAAGCATCACTTCAGAGGTCTCAGGTAGTAGCATCCTTTGGATATTTTCTCCAGGGTATGCTGATGTATTGGGAAATGAGCAGGCAGATAGACTGGCCAGGTTTGTATCACTTGGTGGTAAAGTGATGTATGACAAGCTGCATGTTGTGAGGGCAAGGAAGTTACCAGGGAATTCGGCAGACGCTCAACACTCAGGAAAAAGGCGAGACGGATATCCAATTAAACAGTTACTTGTGCCATTGAAATTGGAACTCTTCGCTTGCTGCTGAAGATAGTAATGGAGCACTTATGGGAGTGTCCCGAGTGCTGTGATGTCAATTGCTTATTCAAAATTCAACATTCATTTGTTTGTATGGGTGTAAAACTTCTAAAAAGTCCACAAGTAAACAAAGAAAACTTTCCACCAGAGTTTACAGCTGACAAACGCTAGAGGAAGAAGAAGATCATTATCATTATATTTTTCTCAAATTCTGGTGCTCCACTGCTACAGACAAACCTCAACATTCGTCCAAACCAAGGACAGTCTCAGTGTCACATCCACTTACCTGTGCAGAGTCTCTCCGACTGACAGTTCTCCTGAAACTCTTTGTCCGCACGTAGTGTATGACCCTGTCTATGCGGGCATTTCCCTTGCTCTGCTCTATCTTGTACAGGTCACTGATGGCTGCTGCCAAGCTGGTGTGGTCATTGATGTCAAAGACGTGGGATACCTGAGAGGAAAATATGAATTAGTTGAGGATCTATCATGGTAATCAAGACATGAGACTAGATGCCAATCTAACAATCTGCTCGTCATCGTTGTTGCCATCATCCTCATCATTATCATCAACGTCATTATCATCATCATAATCATCATCATCATTATCATTATCATGACATTTGAGGAGTTGAGAAATATTTGCAACAGTTGAATATATCTATCATAAGTACCCCAAAGTTCCTATTTTATCATACGCTACTTATATGCTACTTTATAATAAATGATGGCACTTTATCACACATCACCGTACTTTTTCACACACTGTTCCACTTTGTCACACACTGTTCCACTTTGTCACACACTGTTCCACTTTGTCACACACTGTTCCACTTTGTCACACACCGTTCCAATTTGTCACATACTGTTCCACTTTGTCACACACTGTTCCACTTTGTCACACACTGTTCCACTTTGTCCCATACTGTTCCACTTTGTCCCACACTGTTCCAGTTTGTCACACAGTGTTCCACTTTGTCACACACTGTTCCACTTTGTCACAGACTGTTCCACTTTGTCACACACTGTTCTAGTTTGTCACACACTGTTCCACTTTGTCACACACTGTTCCACTTTGTCACACACTATTCCACTTTGTCACAAACTGTTCTAGTTTGTCACATACTGTTCTATTTTGTTACACACTGTTCCACTTTGTCACACACTGTTCCACTTTGTCACACACTATTCCACTTTGTCACACACTGTTCCACTTTGTCACACACTGTTCCACTTTGTCACACACTGTTCCATTTGTCACACACTGTTCCACTTTGTCACACACTGTTCTAGTTTGTCACAAACTGTTCCACTTTGTCACACACGGTTCCACTTTGTCACATACTGTTCCACTTTGTCACACACTGTTCCACTTTGTCACACACTGTTCCAATTTGTCACATACTGTTCCACTTTGTCACACACTGTTCCACTTTGTCCCATACTGTTCCACTTTGTCCCACACTGTTCCAGTTTGTCACACAGTGTTCCACTTTGTCACACACTGTTCCACTTTGTCACAGACTGTTCCACTTTGTCACACACTGTTCTAGTTTGTCACACACTGTTCCACTTTGTCACACACTGTTCCACTTTGTCACACACTATTCCACTTTGTCACAAACTGTTCTAGTTTGTCACATACTGTTCTATTTTGTTACACACTGTTCCACTTTGTCACACACTGTTCCACTTTGTCACACACTATTCCACTTTGTCACACACTGTTCCACTTTGTCACACACTGTTCCACTTTGTCACACACTGTTCCATTTGTCACAAACTGTTCCACTTTGTCACACACTGTTCTAGTTTGTCACAAACTGTTCCACTTTGTCACATACGGTTCCACTTTGTCATAAACTGTTCCACTTTGTCACATACTGTTCTACTTTGTTACACACTGTTCCACTTTGTCACATACTGTTCTACTTTGTTACACACTGTTCCACTTTGTCACATACTGTTCCACTTTGTCACACACTGTTCCACTTTGTCACAGATTGTCACATTTTGTGACTCATGAAATGTCCAACACCTCAGTAACAGCTCCGACAGCAAGACAAAAACCACACGACTATTCTACAACTACATCAATCTGATTGTATGTGTAATCAAAAGAATAAAACTAGATACCAGACAGTACTCACTGAATCACCGTAGACAACCACCCCAATCCTGGTCTTGTTTGGCCCCATATCAAGGCCCAAGGTGAAATCGCGAACAAACTTCACCTGGTACCAGAGGTCATTGGGACTGACCGCGTCAGATGAGTCCAAGGCAAACACGATATCCACGGACTTTTTCTCACAAACTGAAATGTTAAACAGAAATTTAGAAACAGAACTTGTTGCTGTTGCTGTTACATTGTTGCTGTTACATTACTATAGGACTTTGTACAGCCACACTGTGCATTATCCTATCATCCTTATGTAGCAGATCCTTTGCAGAATGTCGTTGCCATCCCAGTTTGCCTGAAAGAAACAGTTTCTCGCCAGCTCTCTCATCCCGTGAACTTTTATATTCATTTTTTTTTTCTATCAGCTCTAGATACTGAGATACATGCGATTGTGTAAGTAATTAAAATTATTCCACTGTTATCTTCTGTATACAGATCTGAAAATTTTAAGCTGACAGAAAACAATTTGATCACATTTTTAGCAAACAGCAGCACAAAATAACCAAGCACAGCAATATAATTTCTTCGGGTCAAGCTGGTGTCTGGGGAAATGAACAGGCAGACAGATCGGCTGGCTCTACATAACTTGATGGAATACTGATATATGATAACGCAGACATGGTTAGGGCCTTGTGAGAGAGCTGGGACGAGCACATGGATCACCGCAGTCCGGTGAGAGTGATGCAACAGAGAAGGGGGGGGAGGGGTGACGAGGGGATTTGGCCCATACTTGAGGCTCAGAGGAAAGGCAAGATGGAGGTATAATCAGAATGCTACTGGCACCATTGTTACTGTAATTCCGCGCTGGCTGTTGAAGATGGGGATGGAGTATTTTTGGGAATGCTCCAATTGCTGTGATGTCAGTTTTTCAATCTACTTAACTCAGCTATACAAAGACATCAACATGTAGACAAGTGTAGTTTTTCCCCATAGCCTTGTATAGAAAACACTGTAATAATGGTAATGAGTTACATAAATGTCTGTATCTCAAAAACCAGAGCTTCTACGGACATATGAATGTGATATTTTATCTCAAGAACTAGAGCTGCTACAGACAAATGAGTGTGATATTTTATCTTAAGAACTAGAGCTGCTACAGACAAATGAGTGTGATATTTTATCTCAAGAACTAGAGATGCTACAGACAAATGAGTGTGATATTTTATCTCAAGAACTAGAGCTGCTACAGACATATGAATGTAATATTTTATCTCAAGAACTAGAGCTGCTAGAGTCAAATGAGTGTGATATTTTATCTCAAGAACTAGACCTGCTACAGACATATGAGTGTGATATTTTATCTCAAGAACTAGAGATGCTACAGACATATGAGTGTGATATTTTATCTCAAGAACTAGAGCTGCTACAGACATATGAATGTAATATTTTATCTCAAGAACTAGAGCTGCTACAGACAAATGAGTGTGATATTTTATCTCAAGAACTAGAGCTGCTACAGACATATGAATGTAATATTTTATCTCAAGAACTAGCGCTGCTACAGACAAATGAGTGTGATATTTTATCTCAAGAACTAGAGCTGCTACAGAGATATGAGTGTGATATTTTATCCCAAGAACTAGAGCTGCTACAGACATATGAATGATATTTTATCTCAAGAACTAGAGCTGCTACAGACAAATGAGTGTGATATTTTATCTCAAGAACTAGAGCTGCTACAGACATATGAATGTAATATTTTATCTCAAGAACTAGAGCTGCTACAGACATATGAATGTAATATTTTATCTCAAGAACTAGAGCTGCTACAGACATATGAATGTAATATTTTATCTCAAGAACTAGAGCTGCTACAGACATATGAATGTAATATTTTATCTCAAGAACTAGAGCTGCTACAGACATATGAATGTAATATTTTATCCCAAGAACTAGAGCTGCTACAGACATATGAATGATATTTTATCTCAAGAACTAGAGCTGCTACAGACAAATGAGTGTGATATTTTATCTCAAGAACTAGAGCTGCTACAGACATATGAATGTAATATTTTATCTCAAGAACTAGAGCTGCTACAGACATATGAATGTAATATTTTATCTCAAGAACTAGAGCTGCTACTGACATATGAATGTAATATTTTATCTCAAGAACTAGAGCTGCTACAGACATATGAATGTAATATTTTATCCCAAGAACTAGAGCTGCTACAGACATATGAATGATATTTTATCTCAAGAATTAGAGCTGCTACAGACAAATGAGTGTGATATTTTACCTCAAGAACTAGAGCTGCTACAGACATATGAGTGTGATATTTTATCTCAAGAACTAGAGCTGCTACAGACATATGAGTGTGATATTTAATCTCAAGAACTAGAGCTGCTACAGACATATGAGTGTAATATTTTATCCCAAGAACTAGAGCTGCTACAGACATATGAAAGATATTTTATCTCAAGAACTAGAGCTGCTACAGACAAATGAGTGTGATATTTTATCTCAAGAACTAGAGCTGCTACAGACATATGAGTGTGATATTTTATCTCAAGAACTAGAGCTGCTACAGACATATGAGTGTAATATTTTATCCCAAGAACTAGAGCTGCTACAGACATATGAATGATATTTTATCTCAAGAACTAGAGCTGCTACAGACAAATGAGAGTGATATTTTATCTCAAGAACTAGAGATGCTACAGACAAATGAGTGTGATATTTTATTTTAAGAACTAGAGATGCTACAGACATATGAGTGTGATATTTTATCTCAAGAACTAGATCTGCTACAGAGCTGCGCTGTCAACATAGATAGATTATGTGATGAATGTTTCACTGGCCACTTTTATTTCCGAGATCATGTATTTCCTGGTTCTATTTTTACCTTTGGCTGACCTGAGCTTCTATGACAAAAAAAGCAAACTTGTTTTGACTTGGATTTAAACAAAGTCTGTAAATAACTGTCAGTGTTTGTTCGATCCCAGATGTGGGCCTTGCCTTAGTTTCCACAGTAGTATCGAGAAGCCGACCATCCAGAAAGCAAAGGCAAACTACTGCCTAAAATAACTACAAAAGCCAAAAAAATGCTGGGGTTTGTTCTGGGACGTCCTGTAAAGGATACGCAACTAACCTATCAGTGCCCCTATGTTATTGTGGGGGAAAAACAAAAACCTTGGAGGTCACAGTACAAGTACTTACTCTTTCTCACGATATTCACCCAAGTCGTGGTAGTCGGCAGTGGTAGAGTTGTAGTAGTAGTTGGTGATGGCGTGGTAGAGTCTGTGGTCACTGTTGTGGCTGTTTGATACAAACAATTATTATTTAAGAAAACTGCGATATGTATAATCAAGTATGGGATATTCAAGTTTATTTCCAGATTTGGCTTCTTATTTTGTTTTATTCATCTTCTTCTTCTTTACGTTCAGTTTCATGTGCTCAGATCAGAGCATCAGGTGAGTTGCCTCTAGAAACTCGCATGTCAGTAGCAGGTCCTTCATGGTTTCCCATTCTTGCTCTGCACACTTTGCTCTTGAGGCCAGGTTTCCTTCTAAAGTTGTAGGTAGAGTCCCGAGGTCTGCAGAATGTGCTCAGGTGTTTGGTGTTTGTGGTCAGTCTGAGTTTTCAAGTGGAAATTGTATTCACTCTGTGTTACAGATGTATTCATATATCATAAGTGATGTCAGTGTGTCTCAAAAGATTATCTGAAACTCTTCAAGTCACTCTCAGCTCAGTGTCCATGGAATCAGTCTCACTTGGTAAGGATTCTCTCATCTGCAGTCAATAAAACAAATTCTGTGTCCAAAAAAAGTTTGCGTTCCCTCTGGCATCATTTTCTAGCCACTGCTTGTGTTCTGTCTTGTATCACATCTGTTGTATGATAGCTTGCTTTCCCTTATAGACAGTGTTTGTGCTCTGTCTTGTATCACATCTGTCGTTTGATAGCTTGCTTTCCCTTCTAGCCACTGCTTGTGCTCTGTCTTGTATCACATCTGTTGTATGATAGCTTGCTTTCCCTTCTAGCCACTGCTTGTGTTCTGTCTTGTATCACATCTGTCGTTTGATAGCTTGCTTTCCCTTCTAGCCACTGCTTGTGCTCTGTCTTGTATCACATCTGTCGTTTGATAGCTTGCTTTCCCTTCTAGCCACTGCTTGTGCTCTGTCTTGTATCACATCTGTTGTATGATAGCTTGCTTTCCCTTCTAGCCACTGCTTGTGTTCTGTCTTGTATCACATCTGTTGTATGATAGCTTGCTTTCCCTTCTAGCCACTGCTTGTGCTCTGTCTTGTATCACATCTGTTGTATGATAGCTTGCTTTCCCTTCTAGCCACTGCTTGTGTTCTGTCTTGTATCACATCTGTTGTATGATAGCTTGCTTTCCCTTCTAGCCACTGCTTGTGCTCTGTCTTGTATCACATCTGTTGTATGATAGCTTGCTTTCCCTTCTAGCCACTGCTTGTGTTCTGTCTTGTATCACATCTGTTGTATGATAGCTTGCTTTCCCTTCTAGCCACTGCTTGTGCTCTGTCTTGTATCACATCTGTTGTATGATAGCTTGCTTTCCCTTCTAGCCACTGCTTGTGCTCTGTCTTGTATCACATCTGTCGTTTGATAGCTTGCTTTCCCTTCTAGCCACTGCTTGTGTTCTGTCTTGTATCACATCTGTTGTATGATAGCTTGCTTTCCCTTCTAGCCACTGCTTGTGTTCTGTCTTGTATCACATCTGTTGTATGATAGCTTGCTTTCCCTTCTAGCCACTGCTTGTGCTCTGTCTTGTATCACATCTGTTGTATGATAGCTTGCTTTCCCTTCTAGCCACTGCTTGTGCTCTGTCTTGTATCACATCTGTCGTTTGATAGCTTGCTTTCCCTTCTAGCCACTGCTTGTGTTCTGTCTTGTATCACATCTGTTGTATGATAGCTTGCTTTCCCTTCTAGCCACTGCTTGTGTTCTGTCTTGTATCACATCTGTTGTATGATAGCTTGCTTTCCCTTCTAGCCACTGCTTGTGCTCTGTCTTGTATCACATCTGTTGTATGATAGCTTGCTTTCCCTTCTAGCCACTGCTTGTGTTCTGTCTTGTATCACATCTGTTGTATGATAGCTTGCTTTCCCTTCTAGCCACTGCTTGTGCTCTGTCTTGTATCACATCTGTTGTATGATAGCTTGCTTTCCCTTCTAGCCACTGCTTGTGTTCTGTCTTGTATCACATCTGTTGTATGATAGCTTGCTTTCCCTTCTAGCCACTGCTTGTGTTCTGTCTTGTATCACATCTGTCGTTTGATAGCTTAATTTCCCTTCTAGCCAGTGCGTGTGCTCTGTCTTGTATCACATCTGTCGTTTGATAGCTTAATTCTAGACAGTGCTTGTGTTCTGTCTTTTATCACATCTGTCGTTTGATAGCCTAATTTCCCTTCTAGACGGTGCTTTTATAACTGTGTCATAAACTGTAATTTAGTCTAAATATTTGATTTCATCTTTAGTAAAACCATTCTCCAGGCAATGGAATAGAGGCTTTCAACAATTATACGCCCAAGACTTCTCAGTGAAAACTGTTTATTCCGTGCCTATTTTCTTCCTAATTTTAAAATGAACTCTGACCTGGTCTTGGTTTTAAATCTCCATCATGTAATCATTTTAAAAATTATTTTGGTTCACAGGTTAGCCCAGTCTAAATAAGGTACCAGGTAAAGTCCGAGGAAGTAAAGGTGGCCAGCCTGATACTGACAGCATCGCATATCCAGAGTCGACTAGTCTATGAAAGGACACTGGCAGGAAATGTGTTTGTTTTCTGACTTTTGACTGGGAACGGGAAGAGAATGCAGTAACATACTTTGACAAGAAAAGAGTCATCCAGTCTATCAGAGGTGAACAGAATCTGGTCAGAGATGACGAACAGTTACTTGACCGGCATGGGCAGGTCATCATTCTACAACTCAGGACAGGACAAACAAAAACGTAACCAGCATATGCAAGGTTTCATCTAGGTAGTTCACCTTTGTGCCCTTGTGGGCTGTGTGTGCAAACTATAGAACATGTCCTGCAAGAAATGTCCCTTGTACATCCCATTAGGAAGGGAATACCAGCCCAGTGAGTCAATATTGTGCCAAAAGTTGTAGTGAACTAAAGGGAACTCCTAAAAACAGTCAAGTTTATCACAAGAACTTGTCTGTCGCTGTAAATCAGAAATCGAAGAAGAAGAAGACTTTAACTTAACTCTTGCATCCTAAACAACACACCATATGTACTGGATACGACTCATGTGTACCAGTCAACATGGGTTGTGTATTTGTACATCATAGGTTTAGTTAGGCAAACTTAATCAATCAATCAAACAACATCAGTCACCCACAATGTGTGTATCTGGACCCCGACTGATGTCATACCAATGATTCTGTTTACCTTCAACCGACATCAGCTAAGATCTTTTTCGACTGAAAGAATTCCCTGACCTGGTTACACCGTGACGAAATCAGTACAGTAATACAACTCTTTTCATGCCCCCCGCACATCCAGCATCTGTTGACAGATCCATACTGTTAAAGAACTCTCGACGGATGATGTAGTATGTGATCAGATGGGGTTTGTCACATTAGAGAGAGGTTAGAAGCAGATGGGGTTTGTCACATTAGAGAGAGGCTAGAAACAGATGGGGTTTGTCACATTACAGAGAGTTTAGAAGCAGATGGGGTTTGTCACATTACAGAGAGTTTAGAAGCAGATGGGGTTTGTCACATTAGAGAGAGGTTAGAAACAGATGGAATTTGTCACGTTACAGAAAGGTTAGAAGCAGATGGGGTTTGTAACATTACAGAGAAATTAGAAGCAGATGGGGTTTGTCACATTACAGAAAGGTTAGAAACAGATGGGGTTTGTCACATTACAGAGAGGTTAGAAGCAGATGGGGTTAGTCACGTTACAGAAAGGTTAGAAACAGATGGGGTTTGTCACATTACAGACAGGTTAGAAGCAGATGTGACTGTTCAGCAAGTCGACAGTAGCTGTCCCTGGAACCCACCAATCTCTAGAAAGCCGCCCAAAAAACTGGCAGTCGTAGATTACTAGCAGTGTCCACAAAAATTTAGTCGCCAAGTAGGAACGTGTTATCTAAGGAACCTCGACTGATTTTATGAGCCATTCGATCTTCTTTCTTTGACATCTGTGCCTTAGGTATTGCAAGCCTTTTTCATAATTCCAAGATACCCATTTCGATTCCAGCTGAAGGGAATTTGCCAGCAGACTGCTGCTCTCTGCTGATTGTGACAATGTTATCAAAAGCTGACCCATTCAGGGGCACTGGCAAACAAATGAATGCAAAATTGTTTGGTGAAATCACAATAAGCCAAAAGTGCTGGGGGTTGGTTCTGCAACGTCCAGTATTTTATACTTACTTGTTGATGGTAATGTTGTTGTTGTTGTAGCTTCTGTTGTTGTTGATGTAGTAGTTGGTGTTGTAGATTGTGTTGTTGTTGTAAATGTAGACGGGGCTGCTGTAGTCGCTTCCACAGTTGTGCTTGCTGTTGTCTCTAGAGGTCTGGTTACTGCTGCTGTAGTAGTAGATGTCGTTGTAGGTGTTCTTTCGGTTGTTGTTATCATAGGTGGTGTTGTAACTTCAAAAAAATATTAAAAATACATCATTTTATCAGAGAAATAAAATTATTGTAAAATGTAGAACTTTTACTTTGTCCTCTAAACTAACCCTTTAAAAAAATAGGTTATATTACGGTTAACAGCAAGGCTGTGATATCTGTGTCTTTTGGCAAAGCAAACCCCTAATTATTTGGCTTTAATGACATTGTCAATGTGCCTGGGGAGGGGAGGGGGTCATGGGGGTGGAGGGGGCAGGGGCGTGGTCATGGGGCGTGGGCGTAGATCTATTTTTAAAACCTAGAATGAAACACTGGAGCCTAAAGGAAGTGGTACAGTTGATAGAGCATTTGCTTGGCCTGTGACTGATGCTGGTTCAGTCAGGGAGGTGGTGTGCTTTCCTGTCAGTACTACAACAACCACCACCACCACTATCACCTCTTCTTCTTCTTCTTCTTCTTCTTCTTCTTCTTCTTCTTCTTAATATTATTATTATTATTCGTCTTCTTCTTCTTTGTCTTCTTCTTCTTATTATTATTATTTTATTATTATTATTATTTTATTATTATTATTATTATTATTATTATTATTATTATTATTATTCGTCTTCTTCTTCTTTGTCTTCTTCTTCTTCTTATTATTATTTTATTATTATTATTATTATTATTATTATTATTATTATTATTATTATTCGTCTTTTCTTCTTTGTCTTCTTCTTATTATTATTATTATTTTTTTATTATTATTATTATTTTATTATTATTATTATTATTATTATTATTATTCGTCTTTTCTTCTTTGTCTTCTTCTTATTATTATTATTCGTCTTTTTCTTCTTTGTCTTCTTCTTCTTCTTCTTCTTCTTCTTCTTCTTCTTCTTCTTCTTTTTCTTCTTCTTCTTCATCTTCTTCTTCTTCATCTTCTTCTTCTTCTACGTCTTCTTCTTCTTCTTCTTCTACTTCTTCTTCTTCTTCTTCTTCTTCTTCTTCTTCTTCTTCTTCTTCTTCTTCTTCTTCTTCTTCTTCTTCTTCTTCTTCTTCTTCTTCTTCTTCACATTCATCAGCTGTAAGCTCCAACTGAAAGTTTAGGTTGTGGACTTTAGTCTTGTTCCAGAACCTGATTATTGCAGGCGCATCAGTTTTACATATCTCGCTTGTATATATGCAGACTGTTGCTTCCTTGCCTTTCGGGCAGATGCAATATAATTTTAAAGAATGCCCCAATACGTTGACTTCTACGACTTGCTTGTTGGGGAGGTAGTGGGTCTGTGGTTTCCCCCCAAATGGGGCCCTTAGAACCCACCCAGGGACCAGTCAGTAGAGCACTGTAGTCGACCAGCGCTCATAGAAACTGGTGCCAGACAATGTGTTTCAGTGTGACGTCTACAAAGATTGGCGGTGCCAGACAATGTGTTTCAGTGTGACATCTACAAAGATTGGCGGTGCCAGACAATGTGTTTCAGTGTGACGTCTACAAAGATTGGCGGTGCCAGACAATGTGTTTCAGTGTGACGTCTACAAAGATTGGCGGTGCCAGACAATGTGTTTCAGTGTGACATCTATAAAGATTGGCGGTGCCAGACAATGTGTTTCAGTGTGACGTCTATGAAGATTGGCGAGGGGAGTGAGACTGGTCACTCACATCTCATAGCAAAATATGTGTTCTATCATTTTAAACCTGAAATAAAATCATATATCATCTTTTCACGTCTTTAGTTTTACATGTCAAGTTTCACATGATTAGTTTCACATGATTAGTGACGCATGATTCGTTTCAAATGATCTTTCAAATAATTAATTTCACACGATCAGCTTTACAGTATCAGTTTCACAAGACTGGTTTTAACCAAAGATAAACTCGATCTCTATTCTGACTTCACAGCTTAAAATAAATAATGTCCACAATTGCAGCGTCAATAAATGTGAGGATGGTAGACAATCAGGGCAGTAGGTGATGTAGGTACAACATGAATAGTGATTGTGACAGTATTTATCACAGTAACAGTAGTAGTAGTAATGGTAGCAATAGCAGTTGTTGTAGTTGTTGTAGAAATGATAGTATTAGTGCTCTCTGCAGTTACAGTTGTAATAAGTATAATAATAGTAGCAGTAGTAGTGGCAGTAATAGTGGCAGTAGTAGTAGTAGTAGTAGTAGCAACAGTTGTAGTTGAAGTAGTAGTAGAAGTAGTAGTAATAGTGGTAATGTTAGTGATAGCAGTTGTAGCTGCAGCATCAGTAGTAGTAGTAGTAGTGGTAGTAGTAGTAGTAGTAGTAGTAGTAGTAGTAGTAGTAGTAGTAGTAGTAGTAGTAGTAGTAGTAGTAGTAGTAGTAGTAGTAGTAGTAGTAGTAGTAGTAAAAGTTGTAGAAGTAGTAGTTGTAGAAATGATGGTATTAGTAGTCTCTATTAGTACTAGCAGTAGCGGTAGCAGCAGCAGTAGAGTAGTAGCAGCAGCAGCAGCAGTAGCAGCAGCAGCAGTAGTAGCAGTAGCAGGAGCAGTAGCAGCAGCAGCAGCAGTAGCAGCAGTAGCAGTAGCAGTAGCAGTAGTAGCAGTAGCAGTAGCAGCAGTAGCAGCATCAGTAGCAGCAGCAGCAGTAGCAGTAGCAGCAGCAGAAGCAGTAGCAGTAGCGGTAGCAGTAGAGTAGTAGCAGTAGCAGCATCAGCAGCAGTAGCAGTAGTAGTAGCAGTAGCAGAAGCAGTAGCAGTAGCAGCAGCAGTAGTAGCAGTAGTAGCAGTACTAGCCATTGACAATTATGAAAATAGTGATTATGGTGAAGATGCAGTTGAAAATACAGACGGTGATGACATTGTTGATGATGATGATGTTGTTGATGATGATGTTGATGATGATGGCGATTTGGTTATGATGACGGCTGTGACTGTCATAGTGGTAAAGCTGCTGATAGTAGTGAAGATAAAGACGATGATGATGTTGATGATGATGGTTGTGGTCGTCTTCTGTTATCTTACCCATGCAAGTCCTAACAGCCAGTTTTTCTTTGATGGAGTCCAGGAAGGAGAAGCTATCCACAGCAAAAGCGTACTCGCTGGCCGGAGAGCTGGCCATCCGCTCCAGCTCCAGGGTGTTGACCAGTTTGCCCACTCCAATGGTGAAGATGATGATGTTGTTTCTTTTAACTGTCAGGTGAGAAATAAGTTAAGAGACATGACCCGAGTTGTTAAATATTGAATGTTGAATTTAGAATCCATATCGGTATCACAGCCATCGGAACACTCACATAAGCACTGCGTCCCAATCTCCAGCAGCAAGTGAATAGATCTAACTCCGATGGCCCAGCAAACTGTCCTATTGTTTATCCGTCTCGTCTTTCTCTTGAGTGTCCAGCTAGATCCCGATAACTATTCGCAGCGCCATTCTCCTCAGATTGTAATGATCTATTTGTGCCTATGCACTCTTCACTCGCTCCCAAAGGGCTCTCAGAATACCTAGCTTTTTCAAACATCAATTCACCACCAAGTGGTGCAGAACACGTCAATTCACCCCCAAGTGGTGCAGAACACGTCAATTCACCCCCAAGTGGTGCAGAACACATCAATTCACCACCAAGTGGTGCAGAACACGTCAATTCACCACCAAGTGGTGCAGAACACGTCAATTCACCACCAAGTGGTGCAGAACACATCAATTCACCCCCAAGTGGTGCAGAACACGTCAATTCACCACCAAGTGGTGCAGAACACGTCAATTCACCACCAAGTGGTGCAGAACACGTCAATTCACCACCAAGTGGTGCAGAACACGTCAATTCACCCCCAAGTGGTGCAGAACACATCAATTCACCCCCAAGTGGTGCAGAACACGTCAATTCACCACCAAGTGGTGCAGAACACATCAATTCACCCCCAAGTGGTGCAGAACACGTCAATTCACCCCCAAGTGGTGCTGAACCGGCAACATGACCCGGCTAGAACTATTAAGTGATTCTAAAGATAATCTAACACAGACAGAAAGTTAACAACAATTAGTTAGAATAGAGTGCTGTGAGAACAAATCTAACAATCAAACCCCAATGTCCCTTACCCGCCTACAGGTAAGCAATGAGGCAATCAGGTTGACAGACAGACCGACAGATGGAAAGACAGACGGACACAAGGACAGATATAAAGATGCAAAGACAGACAGGCAGACAAACAGAACCAACAAACTTTATTTTGAAAGACAGAGATACAGACAGAACAAACAAACTGTATTCCTAAAGCCAGACAGACAGAACCGAGAAAATTTATTTTTAAAGCCAGACAGACAGAACCAAGAACAATATTATTAAAGACAGACAGAACTGAAGGAGCTGTAAGGTAAGAATTGTATCTGGAATGTATGACCCTGACCTTTGGTGGCCTCAATGAGAGTCCGCAGCGTGTGGTCACTCTGTCCATCTGTGATGACGACGGCTATACGAGGCACCCCCGGCCTGGCGCCATGACGGCTGTGGAAGGCTCGAGTTCGAAGGAACCTCAAGGCCTGGTCAGTTGCCGTGGACATTCCATTGGTTTTACCGACCTGATCGGTGGAGAGAATATATCATTATACACAACGTATCAGTGTCCAGTCGTCACCATCATCAAGTGCCTTGCCAACTGGCATAGGCGTTCATGCAACTCTACAGATCTCGGTCTTTGGTGTCCTGGATCGCTTCCAGTGATGATCCTCCTTAATGCCACTGTCTTACGCCATCCACCATCTTGTCTTTTGGTCTGCCTCTACCTCTTCTACCAGTGATCTTTCCAGTTCTCACATTCTCCAGTGCTCCCTTTCTCAACACATGACCAAAGAACTTTGTTTGTCTCCTTCTCATTGTAATAATGTTCTACTTTTATTAGCCATTTTCAGACAATCATTGTTAATCATTCTGGAAGTCCAAGGTATTCGCAACATTCTTCTCAAGAACCACATCTCATTTGCCTGCAAACTCTTCTTAATTTGTTTGCTCACATTCCAAGATTCATTGTCCAGGATCGCCCATTTACATCGCGACCCATCAAGGTAGTCGATCCAGCTCACACCAGGATAAGGTTAAAGTTAAAAGATAAGGGACCCTGTTCTACGTCTTTCGGCGTATTGGGCTAGACCTAACTTTTATAGCTCAATCGGCATTTGGTGGGTAATGTGGTCAGCACTACGCCGGACGCCAAACGTACCTGGACTGTAGCTGGGACCCAAGGCTCAAGGCTGGGTCGACTGGGAGGCAAAGTCATTTTTTGACAAAAGTCAAGCTACGTCAGGACTTGAACTAACCACCTTCCGATTGGCAGGCGAGGCGAACGCTTATGTATAACCAGGGCGCAAGCTGTCTTAAAAACTTGCATGACATTTTTAGTTGTTTTATTTTTATCATTCTTGTTGTTGGCGCTTGGCGGCTGTAAACTCCGACGGGAACTTTTGGTTGTTCGTCAACTTCTGGATTTTGCTCTTGATCCAGAACTCTTGAGTTTTGCGTCCACGTTCGTTTTACCGATCTGGCATATGTGTATGCAGACTGTTGGTTCCTTACCTCTCAGCCAGATGCTCTACTTCGAAGAAAATGCCCCTATTTAGTGGCCTTGTACGGCATGCATGTTAGAGAGGTCGTTGGTCTGTTCTCAAACTGACACACATCGGGAAAGTATTGGTCATCTAAAGGAGATGCTTCTAAATGAGTCACATTTAAATGAGATACATCTAAATGAGACACATCTAAATGAGTCACATTTAAATGAGATACATCTAAATGAGACAGTTCTCAAACGGTTATAGGAGCTTAAAGGGCTCAGTGGCCATCGAGCTTGTCTGCCAACCCAGAAGTCAGGTGTTCCAGTCCTCATGGTTCTAGGCAATTTGCGATTTTAATTCGCCTGGGTTGCAAGGTCGACCAAAGCTGAAATGGCTTACAGGAAATGGTCTGAGAAATAAAAGCTGCCGAGGTGATAGTGACCTGAATATTCACCGAGTGCCGATTGGTCTGACCAGTTTAGACTATCGTCCTTCGATAAAGCTGGTCTATGGTAACAAACTTGACTAACTGGGTTACTTATGTTTGTTATATTGTTTCTACACATTATAAACAAACATACACTGTATTGGTCGGATCTCATAGGCAGAAGTTTAAAGACAGGACACACTAGACAACATGCAACTCGAAAGCTATCGTTACCTTGCTTGGAGTCGAACCTGTCAACTGTAGCTTTTGATTTTTATTTTGTCTAGTGTGTCCTTCTATCTTTCTACTTCTTTTAATAAGTGCCGATCAATATATTATTTCTTAGTTTAATATATATGTGTGTGTATATATATATCTACGACTCGAGCGTCCCCCTTCCCCCCCCCCCCCCCCCCCCACCCCTACCCCTCTGTTTAGTTGTGTAGATTGTTTCTGTGTGATAATCTTTTCAATACATTAAAAAAACATTGCACAGGATCAAACAGAGTCAAGAAAACCACTCGGAGCTCTGTGTGATGCCCAACAGTACATTATAAGGAAATCAATACTGATGAATTGACGATGTTAGACTAAACAAAGTTGTCCGAATTCTTCAAGTAAGAAAGTGGCACACGTGCGCCCCTTGAATAGACGTCGTCTACGCCTGAAGGCATTTGATGCGGGAGACGGAGTATCTATGGGTATGTCCGGTGTGTTATGATATCTAATCTTAAATCAGTAATGAAAGAAACAAATTGTGCTTTAAACCCCTTTCTCCACATTGTTATTTATTATATTTTTTTAAAAACAAATTACACAAAAAAAAAAAATCTAATTAAATAACGATCACCGTTTGATGCCTTCCATAAAGCTCATCCTTATGTTGTCGTGTAATTGATTTCCCAAACGCTCATTGCCAGGGCTAACAATTCTCCTCCACAATTCTGTTTAATGCCTCTCTGTTTTAGTATCCCTGCTCAATCCGTTAGTTACGCAAGTCAGGGGTTTTCAGTCTGTTAGATGCGTAGTCAGGGGTTTTCAGTCTGTTTGAGAAAGTTGTCTCACTAACAATTACAGTTTTTTTGTGCCGTTTGTCAGCACCTCTTTGCCCTTCCGTGTGTTAGTATTTATATTGTGCTATAAACATATTACCAGAGGATAGTAGAAGCGAAACAGAAATCAAAAAGAGAACAGGAATGGCCAAAACTAACTTCAGTAAGATACACAAATTACTGACAGCTAGAGAAATAGACAAAGCCCTAAAAATGAAAATTATCCAATATTATGTATACCCAGTCCTGCTATCTGGTGCAGAAAATACCCAGTCCTGCTATCTGGTGCAGAAAATACCCAGTCCTGCTATCTGGTGCAGAAAATACCCAGTCCTGTTATCGGGTGCAGAAAATACCCAGTCCTGCTATCTGGTGCATAAAATACCCAGTCCTGCTATCTGGTGCAGAAAATACCCAGTCCTGCTATGGGGTGCAGAAAATACCCAGTCCTGCTATCTGGTGCAGAAAATACCCAGTCCTGCTATCTGGGGCAGAAAATAACCAGTCCTGCTATCTGGTGCAGAAAATACCCAGTCCTGCTCTCTGGTGCAGAAACTTTGACAATGAACAGGCAATTCGAAAATCGAATTGAGTGGCATGAAATGTGGCCATACAGAAAAATAGGTAGTGATTTATGGAAACAAAAACTGTCCTATACAGAGGTTCTGGCAAGTCTACAAATGAACAGAAAATTACTGAAAGTGATTAAAAAGGGAGAAAATGAAATACTTTGGCCTCATTCAAAGACATAACAGGCTTTTAAAAACTACACTGGAGGTAAAGGTCAAAAACAAGAGAGCAAGAGGGTGTCAACGATACAAATGGAAGGACAACATCAAGAGATAGGCAGGCAGCAGTCTGAGAGAGAGTCTACAATCAGGACAAGAGACAGGACATGTTGGAGATCCGTTGCAGACAACCTTCATTGTGGAGACGGCACCTGATTGATTGAGATATTCTAGATCTGGGGGGAGGGAAGACAGCAAGGAATGGGGGAAGACAGATGGCAAGGAATGGGGGAAGACATATAGCAAGGAATGGGGGAAGACATATAGCAAGGAATGGGGGAAGACATATAGCAAGGAATGGGGGAAGACAGATGGCAAGGAATGGGGGAAGACAGATAGCAAGGAATGGGGGAAGACAGATAGCAAGGAATGGGGGAAGACATATAGCAAGGAATGGGGGAAGACAGATGGCAAGGAATGGGGGAAGACATATAGCAAGGAATGGGGGAAGACAGATGGCAAGGAATGGGGGAAGACAGATGGCAAGGAATGGGGGGAAGACAGATGGCAAGGAATGGGGGAAGACAGATGGCAAGGAATGGGGGAAGACATATAGCAAGGAATGGGGGAAGACAGATAGCAAGGAATGGGGGAAGACATATAGCAAGGAATGGGGGAAGACAGATGGCAAGGAATGGGGGAAGACAGATAGCAAGGAATGGGGGAAGACAGATAGCAAGGAATAGGGGAAGACAGATGGCAAGGAATGGGGGAAGACAGATGGCAAGGAATGGGGGAAGACAGATGGCAAGGAATGGGGGAAGACAGATGGCAAGGAATGGGGGAAGACATATAGCAAGGAATGGGGGAAGACAGATAGCAAGGAATGGGGGAAGACATATAGCAAGGAATGGGGGAAGACAGATGGCAAGGAATGGGGGAAGACAGATAGCAAGGAATGGGGGAAGACAGATAGCAAGGAATAGGGGAAGACAGATAGCAAGGAATGGGGGAAGACATATAGCAAGGAATGGGGGAAGACAGACAGGAATATTTGGTAGTGAGAGGCGTGGAAGGGGACGGAGGCAGCGAGACATATGAAGAAGAGGATGCAAGACAGGCAGAAACAGATAGGCGGGCAGACACATTCAAATAATCTTAACTGTTCGGTCCCGTCTAGCGGATCATATGTGATCAGCTATTGCCCATGTTTACCAAGCAACCAACAATAAGTTTTGATAAGCTTACTACAGAAATCTGCCTAGTATTTCCTGCTCCCAACTAGTTATATGTCCCTCCATCTGTGACCGTTAGGTTATATTTTATATTTACTATGACTTGTATTACGATTGGGAATATCGGTCCCGCGGGAGGCTCAACATGGACCAATGAGGCATGAGTGGATACCAAGCCTCAGTACGCAACGTTGCAAGGAATCACGTGGATATACTGTCTGGGAGATGCAGGAGTGCAAGGGAATGAAAAAGCGGATTTTCTGGCTACAACGGTAATAGCTACAGGAACACTCATACTGGACAAGGAAGATATTCTGAAGATCATATATGAATGAATGACCAATAGAAGACACGAGATTAGATGGAATGATATGGGCAAGAATGTGTGAACGAGGGATTAGGAGTGAATCTGGCAAGGAGGAACGGGTGAGAGGAAGAGAACGACGTGTGTATAATCAGTGTGCTACAGAAACAGTTTGCATTTACACCTTCAGACATTTGCTGCGGGAGACAGAGCCATTGAAGGTATGCCCGGTGTGCTATGATGTTGTTTCTTAAATCAGTAATCATTAATATCCTAGAAATCTGCTGCCACTTAACCGGCTGCTCCTGCTTGTGGATTGACAACCATCTAGGTCCCCAACAGCCGAGAACTAGCGGCATCAAAAAACCCGCAATATTTCTTCACTGATTATGTCTTTCTGTTCGTGCTAATTTTTTAAAATGTATTTATTCTTCTGTCTGTGGCTAAGGCGTTGAGAACCCGCTTCGTAATGCCGGGGTGCTGAGTTCAATCCCAGCTGCGGTCGGTCTGTCCTGCCTTGGTTTCGACAGTGGTACCAAGGGCTGACCGTACAGGGAGCAGTGACACACTACTGAATGTCAAGTTTTCCTAGAAAAAAACCAAAAACCCCACAACAGCCAAAAAGATTACTGGGATTGATTCTGCAACGCCCTGTAAAGGTGCACAACTAACATTATATTTGTCTGTGTATTATTCTACCTATTTCTAACTTGTAGTTTGTTCCAAGTGATCACACAATTGTACTCTGAGAGATGAGTCTTTGGAAGGGTGGAATGAAAGACGGGCCTCCGTGTCCCGTTTTGTAACCCTTTGGGGAAAAGTGAAGGGGTGGGGGTTAGGTTGTGTTGTTCCTTCGTTCAAGCCGTTTTCAAGACGTTAGTTAATTCGTGTATTTAGCACCTAGTAAAATAGGTTCCAGTTGACCAGGAGGTGAGGAATTGACGCTGGCGCTGTATAGGACGCGCGCTGAGAAAACATGAGAACTATATAACTAGAATGTCTTTGCAGTGGAACCCACGGCGGCTTAGAAATAAAGGAAGACACACATACACACACAAACACACTTGGAGAAGGGAGCTAGAGAGTCATGTTAAAAAGATGGAGAAGACACAGGAAGAGTTGCATGCGAAAGCGAAGGATAGAATGACTTGGTGTTGGTTGGCAGCGGGCCTATGCTCCATTAGGGGTTAGAAAGACAGAATAAGACCTAATAAAACAGACAGCGTACTCAGCAAATTACAAACCATGCTGATGCAATTACTGTTTTCATTTGCCTGACACTTTAACCTGTAAATGTGGTCATGTATAAACATCCTGCTCACTCAAAGGTCGGTATGTACCTCAACATTCCACTCACAACCTACGCATTCAAATTTGGGATCATCGTAGTTCTCTGAACATCTGGAAAACATACTTCGAGTGGCTTCAAACACAAACACCCAACAAAAAAACAAAAAAACTTAACAAGAATCCCACCACAAATAACGGACAAAGATGACATAAAATTCTTCATCAGGATATAAAAAACGTCAACATAGAAGAAATCTTGACGTTTAGCAACGACTTAGATTATTATAGGTTAAAA